AGCCCCCAGGGCCTATGAAGGACGGGGCGGCCGGGCGGAGGTCCCCATCCCTGTGCCTGTCCCTGTTCCCTGTCCCTGTCCCCTGTCCCTGTTTCTTGCTCCTTTCTCTTGTCCCTGTCCTTGCTCCCTGTTCCTATCCCTCTTCCCTGTCCCCATTCCTGTCCATCTTCCTTGTCCTCATCTCCGTCCTCTTTCCACTGACCCCTTTCCTCTTCCCTTGTCCCTTGTTCTCTGTCCCCATCCCTGTTCCCTCTTCCCTGCCCTCATCCCCGTCCCACCTCTGTCCTGTCCCCATCCCTGCCCACTGTCCTTTTCCCCCTCCCCATTCCTCTTCCCTGTCCCTTTTCCCACCTTCTCTCCCTTTCCCATGTCCCCATCCCCATCCCTGTCCCCGGGGAAGCGCCGTGACCTTCGCAGCCCACAACAATAGCCGGGCTCGTGGGCTCGTGGCGGTGCATTGTTCCCTGCCGGAGCTCCTACTCCCCCGCCTCCCCCCGCCAGCGCTCCGCTGCCGCCCTCGCTGGAGCAGGATGAGGCCCCGGTCCTGCAAGCAGTCGGTGGCCTTGGGGCTGGCTCTCCCTGGGGCTGTGCCAGCCGGGGGCTGGTGGTTGACACCAGGACCTGGCTGGCAGCGGGCCCTGCTCTCCCGGAGCCCTGTGCTATGCCGAGAGCATCGCAGCACTTAACTAAGAACAGTCCCTCATCTGTCACCACAGGCAGTGCGTTGGCACGGCCGGCGCAGGGCAGACCTGGCTGTCCCCGGCCTCAGGAGGCACCAGCCCCTTTGGCCGGACACGTGGCATCGGACCTGGGGGTCGAAAGCAGCTCCCCCGCAGTCGGTGCCCTGGGCCTCCCTGCTCTCAGCTGCGTCTGCTCCTTCGGCCGGGCTCGGAGCCAGGGCTGGGGCCATCCCTGCATCGCATCGGGTCGGCGTGCCCTCTGCTCACTGCTTTGTCTGGCACCCCATAACCCAGGACATCCCACGGTCCACAGCATCCCACAGCATCCCACATCCCACAGCATCCCACATCCCACAGCATCCCACATCCCACAGCATCCCACAGCCGTGGCCAACCCCGCAGCCCACCCCGCCAGGCCTGCTCCCGGGCTTGGGGGTCCCAGGGCTGCTCCCTACGTGGGCTGGGGGGGGTGGGCGGGGTGTCTTGCCTCCTCCCCGTCCCGCAGTGCTTGGCCGGGGCTTGCGGGCAACGACACGAGTCCCATCTGGCCCCGCAGCACCGCTCTGACGTCAGGGCTCTGCCAAGTTCAAGGTCACCTCTCCCGGAGGGCCGCGGACCCGGAGCGGGGGGGACGTCGCCTGCCGGGCTGCTCCCGGCGTGTCCCCCCCCCGCCACCCCCCACACACTGGGCTCCTGGCCTCCGCTCCCTGATTTATTTATCCGCGCGTGTGCCGGTTCTCTCCTTGAAGGCACGTTTGCAGAACGGGCGATTACTTACGCCCTAGTTGGGCCGGGCCTGCCTGCCTGCCTGCCTGCCCGCCCGCTGCCCTGGGATTTTGTCTCTCTCCAGGCTGTGGTGTAATAAGGGAGGTAATTAAGTGTAAAAGACAGGGGGAGGGAGGACTGGGAGAGGGGGAATAGGAACCCAGCTCCTTTCAGAGGCAGGGGACTGAGATAATGTATGTTAATAACCTGCAATCAGTCCTGCCGAGCTGTGCTAATATTGCTGACTGCAGCGGCTGGGCCCCCCCAAACCTGCCCCCGCCGCGGTGGGGAGGGAGGGGAGCGCCAGAAGAAAAGCTCAGCCTTTCTCCTCCGCTGCGTCCGGGTTTGTGCCTTCCTCAGCAGCTGTATGGAAATAATTCCCATTGGAGGCGATTGTTTCCCCGGCAAGGGGATGGGGGGGGGGCACAAGTGTCCGGTGGGCGAGGGTCTTTGGGGGCTTCCAAGGGCAGGAGCATCCTCTCGGGGTGCAGGGGGAGAGAGGCCGGCTCCCTGCTTCAGCTCCCGGTCTCCCTGCAAGGGCCATGGGAGGCACCCAGGATGAGACAAGCCGCCCCACGGTGCCCCACACCTCCCAGCGGTCCTCAGCCTCCCCACTCCTGCCCCTCATCCCCCACGGGGCCAGATCCTGGACGCTGTGGGCTCAGCCAGGAGCTTCTGGGGGCATGCCTGGTGGTGCCGAGGGGCAAAGCCCGCTACCCTTGCTCCTGCCTTCTCCGGGACCCCTCCCCAGCACCACCGGCTCGGGGGGCTGCTGGCCATTAGCTATTCCAGCCGCGTCCTTCCCGGAGGCAGCCGGGCAGCAGCCGGAGCCCCGAAGTGGCTCCAATCCGTGGCTTTGAGGCACGACAGGCACGGGTCTGGCGCTGCCGCCGGCTCTGGGAGCAGATTGCCAGACAAAGGGCCGGGGACAAAGGCCCGGCTGCCTCGTGCCCTGGGGAAGGGGCGCAGGCGGGTGCGGGATGTGGGTGCTGGCCTGGCCTGGGGCTGCTGTTGCCCCTTGAGCCCCCATGCCCACCGTGGCCCGGTGTCCACCCAGCCCCCACCCTGGCTGGCACAGCCGGGGCGCAGTTGGGTACCAGGTGGCACAGCCCTGGCACTGGTTCCGTGCCATCCCTCCAACCGGCACTGTGCCCGGCACCGCTCCGGGTGCGGGGCTGTGCTGTGACCGCTTTCTGGCTCTGCACCCCCAGTGCTGCCCATTTCAGGGTGCAGCGGGGCTGAGATGGGGTGCTGTGGGGCACAGGGCTATGGGGAGGGAGCGGAAAACACGGATGGGGCCACAGCAGAGGATGGCAAATGTTGGGCAGATCCCCCCAGTCCCACCGTGCCTCAGTTTCCCCAGCTGCTATCAGGGCCCTTGTGAAAGCCCCTCACCCTCTCTCCCCCCCACAGTCCCTCTCCCCACGGTCAGGGCAGGGCAGGCTCCAGCACAGCCCTGCCCAAGCCGCCTTTGTCCCCGCTCCCCGCAGCTGGCTGCAAACCCACAGTCCCGGGGGGCAGCTGCCGCCTCCGTCACAGCACGGGGCCGGGAACGCCGCCGGTGCTGCCGGGCGCAGCTGGGGCTGTGCCCACCCATGGGGTCCCGGGGCGGGGGGGGGGCTTTGGGGCATGATGCCAAATGGCGCCAGACCCTCCAGGGGAAGGGATGGGACGTGGCCCCAGCCGAGTGATACCCAGGTGGGGGGCACTGGCACAGGCAGCCCCTCCATGCCTGCCGGCGCGGGCAGCAGGGAGGCTGAGGGCTGAGCAAACACCTTCTATTGCTTTGAACGCAATGGAGACATCCCGCGCCCGGACTGGAGACAAAGCCACGGAGCTGCTCCTGCCCGGTAGACCTGGCGGAGCCCAGCGGGGAGACATGCCCGCAGCCGCCCCGGTCCCAGCAACGCTTCCTGGCTCCGCGGCCCTTGCTGTTTTTCAGGGCGCATGCTGGCAAGAGGGGCTGTCCAGGGGTGCCTGCCCCACTCATGCCGGGCACTGCAGGCTGCAGTAGTCGGCGGATTTGAAGAAGCCGTAGACATTCACGAGGGGGAACATGAGCAGGGCCCCGAGGAGGGAGCCCAGCTGCTCTACTGCCCCGTACCACACCAGCGCGCTGCGGCTGCGGCTCCGCAGGATCACCCCGGCCATCACCTTCACGTAGGAAAGCGTCCCGGTGAAGAGCACCCAGGAGAGGACCTGGCGGCGCAGGGGGGGAGAGCGGTCAGCAGGGCCGGGGGGGCTCCCCACCATGGGGACAGGGGACATCGTGGTGAGGCTGGAGCTGGGGGTGGCCCCAGAAACCTCCCCGGGTGAGTGGGACCCCATGACTTACGATGGTGGCATCGCCCCACTGGGACTGCTGGAGGAGAGGGCAGGGACTCATCACCGCGATGGCCATGTTGTAGGCGCCAAAGCCTGTCCCCGCCATGGTGAGGGTGCCCAGCAGGGCCAGGGACCTGCAAGGGACATGCGAGTGACACCGGGGAACGCTGCCAGCCTGTCCCTGGTGAGGGGCACAGACTGGGGGCACAGGCTGACCGGCTCCATGCCAGCTCCATCCTCCTTCTGCAGAGTGTCTCTGCTGCCAGGGCACGGGCACCCCACAGACCCTCTCCCACCCGGCGCCTTCTCCGTCCCACCCTCCCTTCTTGCCATTCTCGGGGCAGAAGCCCCTGGGGCTCACCCCACCGCAGCCCCAGCACCCCGCTACCCACCTGCCAGGCAGGACCATGGCCACGATGCAGGCGAGGGGGTTGGCCATGGAGCTGAGCGTGGCCGCGAGGTGGTAGGCGGTGTTGCCGTAGGGCAGGCAGGAGTAGGACTGCACGGATGGCAGGACCCCATTCGTCAGAGCGCTCACCCAAGCGATGAGGAGGTAGATGAAGGTGAGTTTGGCCAGGGGGTAGGAGACCTTCTGCGGCAGGATGTTCCTGGGCCCCTTGGCATCCTTCGGGCATGGGCAGCCTCCGCTCAGCCGCGAGCCAGCTCCCTCATTGGGGATCTGGTCAAATGAGCTCAGCATGATGCTGCTGGGAAACAGCTGCTGCTGGGAGAGCTCCCACACCTTGGGCTGCCTGGCAAGGAAGAAGAAGGCCAGCAAGCAGGCCAGCATCATTACAGTCATGAGAAGGAAGAAGAGGTGGGTGGAGAAGTTGGCTGGGAGGTAGCGGGTTTCCAGCTGGAAGACGGTGCTCTCCACGGTCTCGTTGCCGGTGGTGAAGTTGACCACGTGGGTGATGTTGGTGCAGCTGGAGATGCCAGAGCCCTGGCCCAGGGCGATGAGAGCGGGGATCAGCCCGCTGAGCCCTTCGCCGATGAAGAAGGTGGTCAGGTACTGGGGCTGCAGCTGCATCATGAAGGGCAGGAAGGTGACGGAGGAGGTGCAGTCCACCAGGGCCAGGAAGAAGGTGAGGATCAGGAAGGCGGTGCTGTGGGGCCTCCCGGCGATGGGGGACGTGTAGTTCCAGAGGAAGGCCAGCAGCAAGCAGGCCACGACACCCACGGACACGACCACATAGATAACAGCCACCTCCTTCAGCAAGCCGGGCCGAAAACGGTGCATGAGGGTGACGAAGAGCGGCCCCACGTTGGCCATCTGGATGATGATGGTGATGTAGGAGGGCAGGTCCCACTGCTCCGGCAGCACCGTCACCAGCAGCGGCAGCTCGACCCACAGCCCATTGATGGCCACCCAGGAGCCCGTGCCAAAGGTGCAGGCGAGGAGATGGGTGAGCAGCGTCATGGCTCAGGGCTGGGTGCCTGGGCCCGGGGGTGATATGGCCGCGCTGTGGGGAGAGGCTTTGATCAGCGCCGGGGTGAGACCTGACCCCCCCCGGACCCCAACCCTGGCCTCCGGTGACCGTTGCCTGCGTTCCCCCTCCTGCAGGCAGGCAGGCAGGCACAACGGCCCGTCTCCCACACGCCATGGGGCTGCGGGGCTCGCAGAGCAGCATTGCCTCCCCACGGCCTGGCCTGGCCCCCCTTTTCTCCCTGCAAGCCCTGGGGACCCCCCTGCTCCCCACGGGTGATGACTCTGCACCCTCCTACCCTGGGTGCGGGACCTGCTCGGCTCCACGTGGGCCCCGTCCCGGAGAGCTGGGGCTCAGCACCACCAGGCACAGAGCCTGGACGGAACCCGGCAGGGCATCGAACCTGTACCGGCTGACGGTGTAGCATGGCACAGCCTGGCACGGCGTGGCACAGCCTGGCACGGGGTGGAGATGGCTCTCACCTGGGGGCCGAGAGGTCTGGGCAGCCGCTCTGCTGGGAATGGAGGCCTCGTACCTCCCACCGCATCCGCAGGGCAGGGCAAAGCAGCGCCCGTCTCCTCCCAGCCGGGTCCCGTGGGATCCCGGCAGGCTCGGGTGGCTGCGGGAAGAAGGGCCCCGGCAGCCGCACCTGCAAACCAGCCTCGGCTCATACCAGCGAGCTGAGTCAGCCAGGATCTGGCCGCATCCCCTTGCCCGCCCCGGACACCGGCTCCCATCCTGCTCCCGGGAAAGAGGGACCCCCCCCCCCCCATCCCACGTCCCCATGTCCCCACACCCCAGCAGCTCGGCAGAGCCAGCTCCAGCCCTCTGCCGCAGCGTTGGGCCCGGCGGCGGAGAAAACTCAACGTCTCCCAGGGGCTGAGCCCGGCGGGTGCAACGACCCACCCATGGCTCCAACCCTACGGGGAGGCATCGGCGTCTCCGGTACGGAGCAAGAGCCAAGACGGAAGCGGGCTCTCGGTCTGACCGGTGCCTCGGCAATCTCCCAAGAGGGAACTCACTGTGTTTTGGGGAACCGGCAGCAGCACGCGGGCGGGAGCGAGTCCTGGCTGCTGGGGCAGTGACGTGAGGCAGGCGCGTCACCACCTCCGGATGCAGACGGGTGACGGCCTGGCCACGCTCTGCTCCTCGTTCTGGTCCCAGTTGGCAGAGTCCCCCTGGGGCTGGGGGTTTTGGGGGGGTGTGGGGGGTGGGTGATTGGGGAGGGGGGGGATCCCCGCGCCCTCCTGCCACGTGCTTGGCACCGTTTCAGGGTGCCTGTCCTGGGTGGGAGGGTCCCAGCAGGTCCCGGGGGGACATAGGAGCTGCAGGGTTGGTTGGCTGCCGGCACAGGGTGTGATGGGATAAAAGCGGTAAGAAAGCGTAAGGAAAAGCGCTGTAGTCCCTGGAGGGATGAGGGGGGGTCCCCGCTTCCGAGGGGACCCTCGTGGCTGGAGGGATGAGTGCCCGGGGGCCAGAGGGAGCAGCTCCGGTCCCAGCTGTGCCCCCGCTGTGGGGCAGGGGCTGGCGTCAGCCTGGGCATGGGGGCACAGGACTCCCCCCCCCCCCGCTCCTGCCTCCCCTCCCAGGGGGTCCCAGCTTTTCCCAGCACAGCCGCCGTCCCTGGATGGGCGCAGGGCTGGCCATAGGGTCCCACTCCCCTCTCCCCACCACTGACCCCCCACTCGTCCCACACAGCCCGACCCCGGGGTGCCAGCTGGGACCTTTCAGCTCCAAAGTCTGTCCCAGTGGCCAAAGTCCAGCTGTGCCACCTCCAGCTCCCGGCCACCTCTTGCCCTCTCCGTGCCAGCCCCCAGGACAGCCCAGCCCAGCCCCTGCCCTACCCTGGGGGGCCACGGCTGCCCCCCGTCCCCACATACCGCCGGTGCCAGGGACAGCCCCATGCCTGCCGCCTGCCCGGCTGCAGCGCGGGGTGCTTGCCGCAGCGTCACTGCTGGCCCAGTGCACCCTGGCTTGGCCGGGTGCCGATGATTATTCTTGGCGGTGTCCTGGACTTTGCACTTGTCCCTGGCTGAACTGCCGTCTCACCTTTTTCAGGCTGCCAGGTGCGAATGTCACCCGGTGACGGCGTGTGTTCCCACCGAGGATCTCTGCTGGGTCACGGGCTGGGATGGGGCCCTTGAAGACCCCCCCGAGCGTGGCGGCTGTCCCACCGTGGGTGCACTGCAGGGCTGGGCGCCTCGGACCCCACGTCCAGCGAGATGGGACCGGGAGATCACCCAAGCTGCGAGCCGGAGGATGAGCCACTTGCACGGGCTGGGAGGTGACACGGGTGAGGAAACAGAGGCAAGGTCACCCCCAGCAGCACCC